ACCTCTTCTTCTTCGAGTGTTGGGATGCCCACTGTAGTGAGGGTGGTCTCGATACTCGTCTTTCGATACGAAAACACGACTTTATCCACCATCTCGCTTTCACAACTTCCTTCCACAATTTTCACACCTAAAACCTCGGTCCTGTACCGAGTGCATTTTCAAATCTTTTGTAACAAAAGCTTGAATGGTCGTGGAGTGGTTGGGCGTAGGCCTTCTCCTATCCCGAGTGCTGACGTTTACCGTAGGGTTCTCTGTCGCAAAGTACTTACCATTCAAAACCTAAATCATCATTAATAAAAGAATGAAGTTCTCTTCGCATTGAATTAAAGAGAGAGGATTAAGTGTAGTCTTCTTCCTCTCCGAGTGTTGGGATGCCCACTGTAGTGAGGGTGGTTTCGATGCTCGTCTTTCAATACGAAGACGCCTCGTTCGCCACACTTTTTATAACAAAAACTTTGAGACAATGAATTGGGTGCTACCCGTAGGGGTTACTATCCGAAGACTTGCCTCGCCCCCTAAAAAATAAATCTATTCAATCAAATGTGACTTCTTGCCTCGCATGGCGAAAACTAATCAATCTTTCAAAAAGGATATGTTACGTCCGTTCTACCGCAAACAGGTAACGCATAAGTCTCCTCACATGCGAGCAGCAAAACACCTAACTGCTAGAATGCGCACGATAGCATCATCCATAAAAGACATCAACACACCGTAGGCCGAACTACGGCTGCTCTGATTCTTTACTTCCTTCAAGTAAAGATACGTAGGCACAAGGGCCACAATCCTTGCCGAGCACAATCCCCCTTATATCTGTAGTTCCCCGAACTACGTCGACTCTGACTTTCTCATATCTTTTGAGAATACGTAGGCCTAGGACCGCGAAGTCCTACCGAGTCTGTTCTTTCTCTTTTCTTCCCCGTTCTCTCTTTCCTCTTAACTTTCTTGTTTCTAACCCTTCTTTTACCCAGTGAAACACTCTTCTTATAGCATAATATTTTAGCAAATAAATTCACACATCGACAAACAAAAGGTTCCCATCGAGTACGATGGATGCGAGGGGTGCTAATACCTTCCCTTCGCATAACCGGCTTCCGAACCCGTTCATGGTTGCGAGACCATCTTATCCATTTCTTTCTTAAGGTTTTCTCGATATTTTCCTTTCCCCTCATGGGATAAATAAAGTTCGGTGGCGACTCTTCTGTCTATCCTTCTCGCCTCCCCGTCGTTGCGCGACGCATTTTTCGAGTAGCGACAAACACGCTATAACACATCAGCTGCAAATACCAGCAGGCAAGCTTTTGCAAATAGCCATAACAGGTAATTCAGCAGACAGCCATAACAGGTATTCCCGCATCAGCTGCAAACGTATCAGCAGCAAGCAACATCATCATTTGCAAGCAGCATCAGCACATCACATCAATATTTTTGCCTCAATATATTTTAGCAAGCACCAGCCACAAATGCATAAGCTACAACCGGAGACCAATCTGGATGAGAGTTTTTCAACACCCCTAACAACGCCAGCATGACAAATCCTCCTCCTTATCACAACAACAACCTATGACCTGCTCGAGAGAAATAAGGGAAATAAACATCAAAATGAAGTTCAGAACAGGGCATTCTGGAAGTCCACAAACCCAAGAAGCAACTTTTTCTTCACATTGGCATGGTCAATATCCTGATAGCTTAAGTCAAGCCGAGGGAACATCACAGGCTCCTGGCAGCTCACCATCTTATCTACAATCAAATATTAATCCTGGAAACTGGAAGCAGTGTGGAAGCGTATCCGCTAATCAGAACATTTTTTAATAATTTAATTAAAAAATTGATTATTTTAATAAATAAATAAATTATTTAATTAAAAATTTAATTAGTAAATAAATATTAATTTGATTAATTTAATTATTTTAAATTATAATAAAGGTATTAATAATTTAATTAAAAACATAATTAATAAATGAATATTAAAATAAGTAAAATAAGAGAATTAAACTAAAATGCATTATTCGGGGGCGGGGCCGGGCCGGGTGCGGGCGGGTCTTAGTGTCTCCCCGCACCCGTAATTAAAAGTCGGGTTTTCCCGCACCCGCACCCGTACCCACTCAAATCGGGTTTTCCCCGCTAATTTCGGGGCGGGTCCGGGTTTTTTTGCCATCCCTAATGGTGAATAAGTGAAATATGCGTTGGAACAAGATTGTTCATATCCCTTGGGTTTTAATGATAACAGAGTATTTAAAGAACAAATAGGTATACTAACATATGTTCAAGTCTTCAGGATTAGAAGCTTAGAATTCACTATGAATTAATCCTGTTGAAAGCATATGTGGAGAAGCAACGTTACTCAAATTCTGAATGATCAGAAACACATCAGCCTCTAGTAAAATGTTCTAGCCTCTGGTGATAGCTCAGACCTTGAATGTTAAAGGTGCCTATGATCCGCCCTGTATGAAAAATAAATTAGTCTTATCAAAGCGTTGGATTTCCGAAAAGAGTCAACTAAGATTTCGTTTTACAAGGCTAAGGGAATGATGATGTGACCTCTTCAGTTTGTTCTACCTTTTGATAGATACCTAGTTCTTAGAAAGGTGTTGTGAACAAAGTCATTATTCAGTGGACAATGCTACTAACCAGATACATCCTTCAACATCTCTCTTGGCATGCTTCTTCACTAAGTTAGCTCTTATGCTCAAACCCTCCAACGACAATTTCTCAATCTCTATAAAAGGAAGCTGAAAATTTAAAGGAAAGTTACAACGCTACAATGCAATATAATATCTTGAGCATAACTCTGAGCTTTTATTTGTAATTGTTATTGCATAAGATCTTAAAATTTCTTATCTTTGTATACCTTAGAAATCTTAAGAGGTTAAGAACCTTTGTGGTTGTTGCATAACTGTTATACTTCTTATTATGTATATAAGCATATTATTTATCTTTTCTACTAAACTGTTTGTTTAAAGTAGAGGAAGTCTCTTGCCTGCGTGCTTAAGCAGTGAAGTCTCTTTCTAGGTTGATTGAGCATAAGTCTCTTGCAAGGTTTCTTGAGCAGAGGTCTCTTTCTAGGTTGATTGAGCATTGAAGTCTCTTGCAAGTGTGCTCGAGCAAAGTGTAATCTGTTTGGTTATAATGAAAAGCCCCTGTATATGAAAGAGGACTAGACTACTCTCATTTAAGAAGAAGAAACATGATATACTTTGTTTGTTACTTGCTTTTACTTCCCATCATTATTATTTCTGCTTATGTTACTATTTTTGATATCAGACTCTAAACGTTGTTCAAATTATTACTTAACTGTTCAGAAGCGAAACAATTTTTGGAATATACAATTCAATCTTCATTCTTGTGTAACTTTCTCACCTTCAATATGACAGGTTCAAACTCATCTCTAGCGTACAGACAGACACTCATGTGCCTGTCTGTCTGCTTTTTTTCATTGAACATATGCATGAAAATATATATGGTGTTTTTTTAATTTTGATTTTAATTAAAATTACGTGTATTTGAATTTGTGATATGTCTATTTAAATATAGTTTATAATTGAAAGTTAAAGTTAATTTTCTTTTCAAATAACTAATTACTTTCAGTTGTGTATAATATTCAAATATAAAGTGGAGAGAGTAGTTAATTTTTATTTGTGTAACTTCTAAATAGTTTTGAAGGGTAAAAGAGGAAAAAAAAAAGGCTATATAATAGTTGCATAATATGTTACCATTGAAACAAAATGTGCATAGTTTCATAAATATAACATGTTGGGGAGGGGATGAGTTTTATTAATAATTTACATTTTTATCCTTATGATCTTATATAAGTCATATGATATTAAAATTTGAAAAATTCATGCGTATTTTTATTGGTAATAAAATTTCTAATATTTAGTGATTAAAAAAGTATTTATTTGTCACATAAAGTTAAAAAATTGAGTACAATTGATTCGACTTATAATTTTCCAACCTAAATTAAACTATATGCCAATAACATCGTTTAAATTGTGATGAATCATATAACAAAACAAATATATAAAATAATTTATAATTAAATATTAATGGTTCAAAATATTTAATAAAATGAATAAACAAAAATAAATAAAATGAATGGTTTACAATTTAATATAAAAGAAAATATGATAGAATACATAACAAAATCAAAAGAAAAAAACGAATATAACTAAACATAATTTTTTTAATAAAAAAAAGACAATGATTATGATTTATCTTAAGTATAGAAATTATAAAATAATTTGAAGGTGGAGAACAATTATAATAAGTTGATGGAAACAATCGAGAAAAAACAGTAACACGCAAAAAAAAACGAATAATTTTGAAATACTAAAATTAAACTGAGGATATTTTAGTAAATATAATAATTTTTAAATATCAAAACTCATATTCCCTCCCCTCCCCTCCCCTCCAAATCCCCCAACAATCTAAACCAAACCAAATCGAAATAAAATCAATTGTTTTTGATTCGGTTCTAAAACAAAATAGAACCAATATAAATAGATAAAATGAATCAAACAGAACTGAATCAAACCAGTTAGTTTCATTCAGTTCCATTTTAAAAAAATGTTAAAAATCGAACAAACTAAACTGATAAAGATATTATCGATTTGAGCCTTTTATTAACAAAAATCAATCCAAACCAAATCGATTACACTCCTAAAAATAACAATCTCTTCTACCATAATCGTACATCATTTCTTAAAAATAAGTCCAAATCCTATTTCAATAAATAAAAGTAAAAACAAAAATAAATAAATAACTCTTATAAAGTAAATAAATACATTAAACTTTTTTTACTCTATAAAATTTCTAATATGGTGAAACACTTAATAATAAAAAAATCATATAATAATATAGTATCTCACTCTTTACATTCCATCATCAATTCACACTCAATCAATAATCGGACATAATAAAACCCATCATTTGGATTCAAAACGAACTAAGAAAAAAAAAAACCTACACACAACAATTACAGTATTTCAACTTCTTCTTCAGCAATGTACAAGAACAAGCTTCAAGAGCTATGCCAGAAGAAATCATGGCGGTTACCGGTTTACGACACCACAAGAGCCGGACCACCGCACGATCCTCTTTTCACCACTACTGTTACCGTCAATTCCGTCCCGTTTACTTCATCAACACCCTCGCGAACCCTTAAGTTGTCCCAAAACGACGCTGCTTTTCTGGCGTTTAATCATTTTTCTGAGCAAAATTCTGTTTCTTCGCCTTTTCTTCCTAATCTAGCTGCTTTTCCTCAACCTAGCTTCTCCGGTTCTCTCAATGCAGCAGTTTCGCAAGGTGCGTTTTCGATTTGTGTATTGTAGTTTTTTTTTTTGTTGCAAATGTATCACATTGTGTGTTATTAGTAGATATGAAATGGTATTTGATGAGATTTTGTAGTTGTTTTAAGGATTTGATTTGTATACACTGATTTTTGTTGTTAGTAGGTATTTTAAGATCTAATTGCGTAACAAAGTGGCTTTATGTTGTGATTTGATTTGATTAGAAGTATGAATATAGAAGTTTTGGAAATGGATTTTTTTTTTTTTGCTTTGAAATTTGATAAGTTATTTTAAGTTTAGTGTATTTAGGAAATGGATTCAAACTAGGGCTGGGTCTAATTAGGGTTCAAATCTTACAAGGCACAAATTGATAAATCATAATAGCCTAAGAATATAGCAAGAAGGGCCGATTGAAAAAAATGTCGTGGCTGTGGAAGGCCCAATAGAGGGGAAGAGAGTCCAAGAATCCTTTTTGGATGCAAGACTATGAGTGTGAAACAAAGAGGAACTCTAAGAAGAATCACTAGTTGATTAAGGAATTTTATTTATTCTATTTCTGCTTTTTACGCAAGTTTGTTATGACCTGCATTTTACATGATGTAGTTGAGAACCACTTTTGGTTATATGAGAGAGAATGACATTTTAGTGTCCAAAGGATTACCTCTACTGGAGGGAACCTAATTTTTTTGTTTATATGAGAGAATGACATTTTATAGAGAGATAGATGGAAAGTCACCAAAGGTAGAGGATTGAAAGGTAGACAATCCCTCCCCAAAAGTTTTACGCTGTCGCTGTATAAAGATTGTTTTCATTCATCGAGTAAATATACACGGAGACATATGAGACATGTGTGATATCTGAAAAATGTGAAGTACGGATTTAGTTCTTAAGAATGTCAAATGTGTTGCTTTTAGTATAACTTTTGGTGATATTAGTTTTATTAGAGACTAATTTGACATGTATTTGACATTTTAAGGATCAAATTGTTACTTTTTATTTGTGATGATTAAATAGGTTTCAGCGTGTATGGAGAAATTTCCCCAAAATGGCCGCGATAAAATACGCGGGAACGTATTTGATCTTTGAAAAAGGAAAAAGTACTAATTTGGCCTTTAAGAGTGTCAACGTTTCCTTTTTAGTGGGATTTTAGTTCTATTATAGACTTATTTGACATACATCTGTCATTTTTAATGATCAAATTGGTGATTTTCATTTCTCATGATCAAGCTGTGTTGTCTATGGCAGATGACGGTTCATGGCGGAAAACCCGGCAGTATCGGCTAATATTTGCCCATTGTGGCAAACCCAAAAACCGCCAAAGCGTCGCCATGGCCGACATTTGATAACACTATGATCAAGTAGGGTTTAGTGTTTTTTGTTGGGATCTACTTGGATATTTACTCTAACAAAATGCATTTGGATTTTGAACATAAATTGTGATTATTGAATTGTGGTTGTTCATGTTGATTATCTAAATTATTTGCTGTGTCTGTTTTGAGGGTTTATTTCGATTTTAATGCGGGAAATGGTGCTTACAAGTTTTTTTTTTGTTTGTTTTTGAAAAAGAATGGTGCTTGCATGTTATAAGAAGAATTATAAATTATATATTGGTATGTGTTGTCGTGCTTTCTCTTTTAAGTACGTCATTTGCTGTTTAGTTTCAACGTTTTTAAAATTGTCCAGACACTTTTGTTATTAAAAGTGAAAACAACGGTCAAAGTTTTAAATCTTGCAATCCTTGATAGTTGCGGGAAATTGACTGAATGGCCGCAATCGCATTCGGAAAACTAATGAAATATCATGATTGAGGGGGAGAAGATGGATTTTAAGGAAAAAAAAACTAATTTATATATTAAATTAAACTCTGATAACATTTCATGTGACAAAAGAAGGACCACTTACAACCCCGTTTCCGTTACTGTCAATTCCATCCCTTTTAATTCTTCGTCACCTTCACGGACCGTCAATTTATCCCAAAGCAATATGTCTGCGTTTAATCATTCTCTCAACAAAACCCTATTTATTATCCTTTTCTTCATAATCTCTCTTCTTTTCCTCAACCTAGTGTTTCCGCTTCTACAAGTTCTTCATTTTATCTAGGTTACATCTCTGCATGTTTTGCTGTTGTTGTTTCGACACATGCCGTTGTTGTTTCGACACATGCCGTTGTTGTTTCGACACATGCCGTTGTTGTTTCTGCGTTTTCGCTTTCCTCACTCATTTAAGGATTTAATTGTATACATTAAGTTTTCTACATTTGCATCAAACTATATCTTATCAGGAGATATTCGTAGAGAATTAAGATATTTTATGATATAATATAATAAAGTAACATCATAGTATGATTTAATTAGATGCTCAAGTAGTTTTTTTACACTGTCACGACATAAAGATTGTTTTAATTCATCGAGTAAATACTCAAATTTGTACTGATAATATTCAGGGACACAAGAGACATTTGATTTCTGAACAAATGAGAGCTCCTAATTTAGTTCTTAAGAATTACATGTGTTCTTTTTAGTGATGTTTTACTTCTCTTAGAGACTAATTTGATCTGCATTTGACATTTTTTAGAATTTAATTGTTACTTTTTACTTCTCATGATTAAACAGGTCAGAATGTTCATGGATAAAATACTTAAATTGGACCAGATAAAATACTTATGTTTGGCATGCTTTCTCTTTTTAAAAGTGAAAACGGGGGTTAATGTTTTAAATTTTGCAATCTGTGATATTCTGGCAAATTGACCTTCGCAGTCTTGGAAAACCTTAAAATCCTTGTTGTTTTGGCACATGTTGATGTTTCCACATTTTCCCTTCTCGTTCTGTTTTAATTAATGCATTGGATGAAAAATTGTAATTAATGAATTATAACACTATGTTATCAATTGCCGCATTTGTTGAGGTTTTATTTAAATTTTATGAAGGACAGTAGTGCTTAGAATTATAAGGATTTGCTTAATTTCTGAATATTGCTTTTTTTTGCTGGTTTTGCTTTCAGACATTTGTACTAAAAAAGTGAAAAACAGAAGTTAATAAACACATCTTCTTTGTCCTCTAAACTCCCTAATATTGGAGGTGAGCTAAAATTGACTCAGGAAATATTTTGCTCCCAACCCATGCCCTTTAAAAATTGAACTAAAAAACTCAAATTTAAAATAATCCGCCCCTCCCTCCACCTCAACTTAGTTAAATTTCGCGGAGTCTAAGTAGTACGCAGTTGTAGTTTGACAACTTTCTCTTTGCATGGAAATGGTATTAACTGCATATTGGGTGCCATTATACTATTAGTTTGGTTAATACTTTCAAATACATTAAAGGAGGTAAGAACTCACTTGAATTGTGCTGTGTTCCTTACTCAGTAACCAAATGTAGTGACATTTGATCTTCTTTTAGGCACACATGTAACATAATTGAACCCCTAAAAGAATCTTTTGTGACACTATATTCCAAATTTTATTCTTTACAAAAGCTTCATGTTTATTTCTGTTGGACCTGCAGGTTCACCTGTTCAAAGCCCTAATGTTGGTAACACACTTCCCACTAACAGAGTGCTGCAACCAAGTACAGAACCAGCATGCCAAACTCCTCAGATCAATATCCCCGTCCCAACTGTTACAGATGTCCCAGAAGCACAAGATCTGAAAAGTAATTTGATTTCTGTCTTTTGTTTATTTGATTAATTTTGACACTCAGTTGAGTGGTACACAGATTTTGATTTCATTAGAGTGCACACACATAATTGAAAATTTAAAAAAAGGAATCATGATGCACAATGAAATACGTCAAAAACTTTGCCGAATCGGATCCGATACGTATCGAAGGAGTATCCGAATTTATTTTATTTAAAAAATAAATAAATAAATTTCAATATGGCGGCGATACACCTCCCATACTCCACGGATACGTGATTTTATTTTTTTATCAGATTTTCATTTTAATGACCCTTCACTCCCATTTTTAAATGACCCCTTTTTAAACGACCCTTCCTTTCTAGTCATTGTCTTTAATATCCTAATTAATTCTTTACCTATAATAACCATTTTTGAAAATTGGTTTGATTTTCCAAACTTCTTATCATTACTAATATTTAAAATTTCATTCATATTATTTATAAGTAAAATATTTTTATTCAGAATAATACTTTCCTTGCCACGTTTCTTTCATTTTATCCCTACCTTATTAACTAAATTAAGAAGCCGGTCTACTTACTTACAATTTAATTATAATTTTAACATACATATCTTAAACGTATAGTATCTATTTTTTAATTAATGACGTATCGCCGTATCGGATATGTATCGTATCCGATACGAGTATCGTATCTATGCTTCATTGATGGTGCATATCTAGACACCTTCCTAACACATTCATGGCTTCAAGATTTACAATATCATGATATGTGTTCTGTTTCAATAATACCTTAGTATTTAGAAACCAGAACCTAATTAGCCATGTACGAGTTCAATCCTAATTTTATTTTCCAGTGTGAGTTAAAAAAAAACAAATACATGATGAACATGTTTCCTCAGTGTGGAACTGTTTTCATATCAGCCCGTGTCCTTGCTCTAAAGAACATAGAACATAGCATATGATATGTATTGTGAGGTAATTAAAACTTGTGTATTATTAACAATTATTATTAGTGGACGGTTAAAATTCATTTAACTGTAATTAGACAATGGTAAATTCACGCATTACTATTAGTTTAATTTTGTCTAAGTGTTATAAATACGCATTATAATAAGTCAATTAAAAAATGGAATGGAACAGTAATTCATTCATTCTCTCTCTGCATGATTGTTTATCTGAAAATTCTGTTACTTTCATTCCCTCTCATTTCCAAGAACTGATAACAACAATAGTGAATCAATAGAATAGTAAATTTTCATTCCAACAGATTGGTATCAGAGCAAGACGATCCACAGCCACATCCGACGGCAAACATGACAGAAACTTCAAAAATCAGTGATCAAACTCATGCGAAACTTCCAATCTTTGACGGCAGCAATTATGAAAGATGGACAGCGCAAATGAAGGTTGTCTTTAGGTATCAGGGTGTTCTAGATGTTATTCACAATGGAGTGACACCGCTTGACGCAACACCAACGGAGGCAGCGAGGACAACTCACCGTGAACAAATGAAGAAAGACGACAAGGCGATATACTTCCTCCATCAATGTGTAGATTTGAATGTCTTGGAAAAGATAATTGAATATGAGACGGCCAAAGAAGCTTGGGATGTTCTTGTAACCACTTGTGCCGGCGATAGACAAACCAAGAAGGTGAAATTGATGGCTTTAAGGCGTCAATTAGGTCAATTGCAAATGGAACCAAATGAGACAGTAACGCAATTTGTGAACAGGTTAATTATACTAACCAACCAGATGAAGAGTTGTGGGGAAGTAGTTACTGATTCTGTTAGGAGTCCCACATCGGACAATATATGACGTGAACATGTGTTTATAAGTGGGGGTAATCCTCACTCTACAAACCGGTTTTGTAGGGTTGAGTTAGGTCCAACCACATTTCCTAACATGGTATCAAGAGCCTCGTTTAAGATCCGGTGGGCCACCTTCTATGGTTTCCGCTATCAGGCCATCCACCATTTATTTCCACGATTCAGTTGTCCAGTCCTGAGCGTGAGGGTGTGTGTTAAGAGTCCCACATTGGACAATATATGACATGAACATGTGTTTATAAGTGGGGGTAATCCTCACTCTACAAACCGGTTTTGTAGGGTTGAGTTAGGCCCAACCACATTTCCTAACAGATTCAATGAAGGTTGAAAAGGTTATCACATGTTTAACACCCAAATTTGATAATTTAGTTGCTGCAATTGAACAATCTAAGAACCTAGACACGTTGAGAATGAGGGTGGAAATTTTAAGCAAGAATCTCAGAAGAAAGGAGGTGAGAGTGATGGCAAAGGAAAGAAGAAATCCAAGGAACACATTCAATGCTATAACGGTAAAAAAATGGGGTCACTTTGCAGATGAATGTGTGAATTCTAAGGTGCCTAGGAAGAGAAATGAGGAGGCACAATTAGCTCGTGACTTAGATGAAGAAGTTGTTGCATTAGTGGCAACAATTGATGAAGAGGTGATGATGTTGATGACAGTTACCGAAGGTGGTGGAATAGAATGGTGGTACTTGGATACAGGGTGCTCTAATCACATGACAAGCCATTTAGAATGGTTTTGTGAAATTGACAAAACTGTGAGAAGGAAGATTAGATTTGGTGTTGGTAGCTATGTCATTGCAGAAGGTATTGGAAAGGTAGCCATTAAAAGGGAAGACGGAACAAAAATAATAGTGAGTGATGTACTTTATGTTCCATAAATGAAGAGTAATTTGCTTAGTTTGGGGCAATTACTAGAGAAGGGTTATTCAATGAATATGAAAGGGAATTACATTTAAGTATTTGATAGCAAAGAGAAGGTAGTATTGAAAGTGTCTATGTCAAAAAATAGAACTTTCAAGGTTGGTGTGAATTCTATTGATAAAAAATGTCTAATTGCACAAGTAGATGATATAGTGTGGAAATGACATAAGAGGATGAGACATTTGAACTTCAATAGCTTGAAGATGTTGTAGAAGAAGAATATGGTGGTTGACTTACCTCAAATTGAAGAACCGAAGGAGATATGTGGAAAATGTTGTGAGGGAAAGCAATCAAGGAAGTCATATAAGTCTGCAATACCAACTAGAGGAACAAAAAAGCTTGCTATTATTTATTCAGATGTGTGTGGACCCTTTGAAGTCAAATCCATTGGAGGTAATTCCTATTTTGTGTCCTTCATAGATGACTATACTAAGAAGATGTGGATTTATCTTATACATAAAAAGAGTGAAGTGTTCAACATTTTTAAGCAATTTAAACTGTTAGTGGAAAAACAATGTGATAGTACAATTAAATTGCTTAGAACTGATGGTGGTGGTGAATATACATCACATGAGTTTGAAAATTTCTGTAAAGATGAGGGTATAGTTCATGAAATAATGATCCCACATACTCCTCAACACAATGGTACAACGGAGAGAAGAAATATAACTCTGCTTAATATGGTGAGATGTATGCTAAGAGAAAAAAATCTTCCACATAAGTTCTGGGCAGAAGCAGTATATACAACTACTCATATACTAAACAGGTGTCCAACCAAGAGACTAGAAGGCATCACGCCTGAAGAAGCATTGAGTGGTGTGAAACCAAGTGTAAAGCATTTTAGAATGGCTCATTGTGTTACAGGCATGAGCCTGAACAAAATAGAAGAAAACTTGATTCTAGAGCACAAACAATGATATTGATAGGCTATCATAGCACTGGTGCATACAAACTATATGATCCAATTCACAAGAAGATAGTAGTGAGTAATGATGTAATTGTAGATGAAACTAGAGAATGGAATTGGAAGGAATCAACTGAGCAAGCTACCAGTAGAACAACTATCATTCAACTTGACAGTGACAAAGTTGACAATGAGGAAGAAGTGAATGTGCCTGAACCAATTGTTCTTAATGATGACAATGTGAATAATGTCAATGAAAACAATGTTGAGAATGATGATAATGACAATGTGGAACAATTGAGAAGATCTAATAGAGTAAGATTCCCATCAGTAAGACTACAAGGTTATGCCATGTACCCTGCAGGCTTGTGTGAAGATGTTACTGATATAATGCACTTGGTTCTCATGGCAGAGTCAGAACCTATAACACTTGATCAAGCACTTTCAAATCCAAAGTGGAAAGAAGCAATGGTGGATGAATTAAGGTCAATTGAAAAAAATGAAACTTGGCAGATGGTGAACCTACCAAGTAATAAGAGAGCCATTGATGTGAAATGGGTCTACAAGACTAAGATGAAGCCAAATGGTGAGATTGCAAAATATAAATCTAGGTTGGTTGCAAAGGGCTTCTTGCAACAACCTGGACTTGACTTTAATGAGATATATGCCCCAGTTGCAAAGATTGAGACTGTGAGATTGATAGTAGCATTGGCTAGTTTGAGAAAATGGAGGTTGAATCAACTTGATGTCAAATCTGCGTTTCTCAATGGGCCATTGGAAGAGGAGGTTTATGTGAAGCAGGCACCTAGCTTTGAGAAGAACGGTATGGAAAAAAAAGTAATGAAGTTGAAGAAGGCTTTGTATGGACTCAAGCAAGCACCACGTGCTTGGAATAAGAAGATTGATACCTCACTGCAGAAGCTAAATTTTACTAAGTATTCAACTGAACATGGTGTGTATGTAAGATTGAACACAAATGATGACTTGGTAATCATTTGCCTATATGTGGATGACCTGTTAGTGACAGGGAGCAATGAACAAGAAATAGTGAAGCTCAAGAGGCAAATGATGACCGAGTATCAGATGACTGATCTAGGAAAATTGTCTTATTTTCTTGGCATGGAATTTGTGTCATGTGAAAAGGGAATTTTTCTGCATCAGAAGAAGTACATTACCGATGTACTCAAGAGGTTTAAAATGCTTGAGTGCAAGTCTGTATTTACACCAGTTGATACTACTGTGAAATTGCAGAAAAATGCCACTGATGAAGGTGTTGATTCTACATTGTTTAGACAGTTGATTGGCTCACTTAGATATGTCTGTCACTCAAGGCCAGACATAGTCTATAGTGTTGGAGTGGCAAGTAGATACATGGAGGTGCCTAAGAGAACTCACATGGTTGCTGCAAAGAGAATACTGAGATATCTCAAGGGCACAATTGACTGGGGAATTCTATTTCTTAGTACAGAGGGACCTGCAACTACTGAGTTAATAGGATACACTGATGCTGATTGGAGTGGAGATACAGAAGACAGAAAAAGTACTTTTGGTTACATTTTCATGATGGGTAAGGCTCCAATAGCATGATGTTCGAAGAAGGAAAATGTTGTAGCATTGTCAAGCTGTGAAGCTGAGTATATTGCGGCAACTTTTGGTGCTAGTCAGGCACAGTGGTTACAAATGCTGCTACATGAACTGAAAGTGAAGTGTGAAAGTACTATAGATTGAAAGTGGATAACGAGTCAACTATTGATTTAGCAAAACATCCAATTGCTCATGGAAGGAGCAAGCATATAGAGATCAAGTATCATTTCCTAAGAGATCAAGTGGCCAAAGAGAAACTTGCAATAGAACACTGCAGTACAGAAGACTAGTTAGCATATATGTTAACAAAGGGCTTGAAGACTAGCAAGTTTGAAGATATGAGAAGCAAGATAGGAATGCTAAGCCTTGCAAGTTTGAATTAAGGAAGAGTATTGTGAGATAATTAAAACTTGTGTATTATTGGCAATTATTATTAGTGGACGTAAAATTTATTTAACTGTAATTAGGCAATGGTAAATTCACGCGTTACCATTAGTTTAATTTTGTCTAAGTGTTATAAATATGCATTTAATAAGTCAATTAAAAAATAAAATGGAACAGTAATTCATTCATTCTCTCTCTGCATGATTGTTTACGTGAAAATTTTGTTACTTTCATTCCCTCTCATTTCCAAGAACTAATAACAACAATAGTGAATCAATATAATAGTAAATTTTCATTCCAACAATATGTGCCATAAAATAATAGCTACTATTTATCAACTACCTTTGCTTACTACTAAGGCGTCACTTTTCTTTTCCCTATTGGTTTGATTCAACTTAAATGCTTTATGAGATTGTTTGGTGTTTTATTCTGGGAGGTCAGTGATACTGGCAAAATGCAGATATAAATTATAATAACATTTGAGATAAATACTTTCTTCTAAATTTTCAAATCTCAATGATTTGTTGAATGGCAATGTTGATCCGTGGAATTTACAAAGCATTAAAAAACAATAGTCCTTAATGCTTTAGGTAGGGTTGGATTCACAGATCAGCCAAGCCTTAGTTAGAGATTTTGAGAAAGAGGAAGTTGACAATAACATATTTGTTTTTTTTTTTTTGTTACTTATCCTTTCACTGTGATGATGGTTTATATTCTTTTGTTTATGGTTAATCATCTTGATTATATTACTTATGAGTTTGATTTCTTGACATTCAACTTTGTCATAGTTATGATTCATTTGTACAAGAATCAGCTCCAAAACTATGCACAGAAGAGAAACTTACCTCTTCCAGAGTATGCTCCTGAGTGGGAGGGTCCACCTCATGCCATGCGTTTCAGATGCAAAGTTACAATTGATGGACAGACCTTCCAGAGTCCTAAGTTCTATTCTACATTGAAGGAAGCTGAACATGCAGCAGCTGAAGTTGCTTTTAAATCATTATCACCAAATGCAGTTCAAGAGGCTAGTCTTAATCACTTATGGCCAATTAGATAACTTTCTTACTCTATAACTACAACTCTTTTGTTTAGTGCTCTTTACATCCATATGATTGTCTGAATTTCAGGATGATATTGGGGTATACAAGAATCTCTTGCAAGAATTAGTCCAGAAGGAAGGATTTAAATTGCCTGTATATAGTACCAATAAATCTGGCGAGGCTCACAAGCCTATATTTACCTCACAAGTGGAGGTAGAAGGGACGGTATATACTGGTCAGGAATCTAAATCCAAGAAGCAGGCAGAGATGACTGCAGCCAAGGTTGCTTATACATCTTTGAGAAAACGTAAAGGTATTTTTATAATATTAGTGTCATAGTGTTCCTTTCTGACATATGCCCATAAATATGGATGATAAAAAATCCGAGTCCCTGAGGCCGAGTTTCTTGAAAGTTGAATTTGACGTATAAGAGTATAATTATGGGGTAAAGGATCTTATTTGTATCCCAACATGCATTTGACTGTTGATCTTACTCTTAACCACAAAACAATGTATTAGGAGGTATAGGGTAGGGGTAGCTTAGTTTAGGGTATATGTAGAGTTTTGTTTTTGTACAGGTATATTTGTTAACCTTGTTATTGAGTGATCATAAATCATATCTCATGTTGGCTTGATATCTTTATGTGTTAATGGTCTAGTAGTATAAAGTTAACTGAAAGTAACTAAACAAGATCGTGTAGTCTTTGGTGTTGACCAAATAGAAGTTTTTTATTGTCCGTGTATGATAGTTAAATAGCCACATGCCTTACCAGTTCTCCTGTTGCCGGTGGCTCTGATTGTAGACTCTAGTGACAATTTATACCATTTTCATTAGACGAGATGTTATTAAGAAATCATTGGACAACCTTTGAGCTATTAAAAAATAGATACCGCATCTTTTTTTAAGGGGAAAAAGTACGAAAAGTACAACATAGTGAGTGATCACGGCAAAATATAGCCTGATTGCACAGATACAAACTCTTCGAACTTATTTGTAGGAAGAGCACCAGGAATAAAACAAAGAGATTGACCTTTCCCATCAATGCAATTAAGGCAGAAAATTATGCTCAAATGTTTTTGCATTATGCTTTAGCTAAATAATCGTAATAAACAAAAATATTGAAAAGATTTAACTACTAAAGCACAATATTGATTGACTAGAACTCTTGAACTGTAATTTGTTTTGTTTATTTATTGGACTTCAATGTTTTCTTCCTTTGTAGAATCAAATATTCAGGGTACCCTTTTCAGTTTTGGTGACATCTAAAAAATAAAAAAATAAAAAAATTTGTTATCATCATCATCATCATATTAAAGATATAAGAATTTTTTTTTCTATCTACTATAAATAATTTTCACAGTACTTCTATTTGTCAGCTCATGATGAACGAGCTCCTGAGTTTTCATCTAACTGCTCAAAGGAAAATGTCATATCTGGTTTGCAACACCATTCAAATGGAGAAGCATCTGTAAGCCCTGGATTAGTCATCCAGAATTTACCTAACACAGTTAAAGGTGAGTCATCAAAGCTCTTATCATTTCTACCCTATGCTCACTTTTGCAAAAAATTGTGGATTATATATCTCTATTTCTGGCAACATTTTATAGCCTGTCGATTGTGTAATGTCTATACACTAATCTAGAGCACAAGTTGAAGAGAAGTTAAAAAAAAAAAGAGAAGTATCCTCACCCCTTGCACTTTGTTTTGAAGTAGAGAAGTAACAATCACGAGGCTTAAGAGAAGTATCTTCACCCTTTATACTAATCTCGTGATTGTTACTTCTCTTTCTTGTGTTGTCTTGTTTACTTGTGTAAGGGGTAAGGGTTAAACCAAGTCAAAAAAAGTTACAACTTACATATTCATTGCTGACTTAATAAAGTCATCTAATGAAAGAGTACACAGTTTCAAAGATAGAGTAGTATGAGGATCGGTACCACCAAGGAGTTCAAGTGCCTTGGAACTCCCCCTTTCCAAATTCCACTCTGAATTTCTAAGATAAACTGCACCTGTTCAGTCTTTCCTTTTTATTGTTACACACCATCCAGAACTGAATAGACATAGATAATTACATAATTAATTACAGCTCACAGCAGTAATGTGATAGAAACCAACTGCTATAGAATAAGAAATAGGGAAAATCCCTTTAATTATAGAATGATATTGCAGAGCTTCGAGGGTCTGCACCTCCCTAATGCCGAAATGGCCTTTTTCCAGTCAAATTCCACCATCAACATAAAAAAGATGGTAGTTCCCTGGTACCAGTTGATAGAACTGGTACCAAAGTAGATAGATAATTGAATAACCACTATTTTTATTGAATTATCCCTCGAGAAAAACAGCCTCACAGAGATATACACAGAGATATACACTCAGTACTGTATAAGAAAACAAAGCGACAGAAGAAAATTAAAGAAGTATGAGAACACGATTCCGCCAAGGATTTAAAGAGCCTTGGAATTCTCCCTTTCCAAATTCCACTCTGAATTTATTACTGTCCTATAGTGTAACTGCCCCATAACTAGCAGTAATTTTCACTGATTTCCTATAACTGATATAATCTGTTCTGCCCTTTACTCTTATACACATTTCGTATAAGAGGTCTAACATAATGCCCCATAACTAGCAGTCTCTGTCCCATAAAGTAATTGCGCCATAACTAGTATTAATTTTCCCATAACTGACATAATCAGTTTTACCCCTTTTCTCTTATACATATTTTGAGTAAGAGGTCTAACAGAGGCCTTCCATCTTTTGGGGGTTTCTTTCTCGCTTTTCATGTTGTTTACACCATTTTATTGTTTAAGGTTGTTCATTGATACTTTCTCTTCCCATGTCATTCACAGACACCTGTGTGCATTATATTTCTTGAATGATTAATGAAGTACAGATTAGTATTTATAGAATCAGTTAGAGAAACTAACTCTAATGGGTTAGAAGCATGTACGATGCCAGCTGTCAATAGACAGTTGAAACTAACTATATCTGATAGTGAATCATTTCTACACTATCTCTAGCATTGCCTCTTACAAGTTGAGTCTGTCTTGACAAGACTGAGTATGTCAAACACTCAAAGCTTGTCACGCAGCAGAGAGAGTTTGCAGTAGACAGAGGTTTTGTAAGGGTATCAACTCACTGATCTTGTGCTGGTACATGGGAAACTATCAAGCTCTTGCTTAATACCTGGGAAAAAAAAGATATTTAGCTCCATATGTTTAGTGCTGTTGTGTTGGGTGGGGTTTTGAGCAAGAGAAACAGTGCTGAGATTATCAGAGAATGCAGGGAGTCTGAAATTTACAGCGGTGCTCAAGTAAGAAGAGATTGTATCCACAAAATTTTCTCCAACAGATGAGCTAAACTGCTGTACTCGGCGTCTACACTTAACCTGGCCACTAAGGTCTGTTTCTTTGACCACCGATACATGAGGTTAGGCCCAAGATCTACTCAGGCTCCTGAAGTCGACCTGCGGCAAAGTATAGTAATTAACTGTTGAATGATAGTTGTAGACCTGTCTGTAATGATAAAATCATCCACATAGACTAGAAGATAAACCGCCTACTTATTTTGAGAAAATGTGAATAATGAGGGGTCACATTTACTAGTCTTAAGACCCAGTTGAACTAGAGTACAATGTAGCCTTTCAAACCACTGTCTAGGTGTCGTTTAAGGCCACAAAGAGCTTTATTAAGCTTGCAGACTATAGAAATATTACCATTCTCAAAACCATGAGGCTACTGTTGCATAGTCCACTTGTATGTAATAGCAAGAGTAAGAACCAACCTTGTTGTAACAGGTGTGACTACTGATGAAATTTTTTCATTAAAATCAAAGCCATGCATTTAATGGAAAATGTTTTGCAACCAAACATGCCTTAAATCTGTCAACACTACCATCTGGATTTTCCTTGACTCTAAAGATCCTTTTACAACCAATAGCTTGTCTATTTAGTGGTAATGGAACCACTGTCCATGTTTTGTTCTGTTGCAAAGCATCGAACTGAACTTGCATAGCAGCCTTTCACCGATGATCTAATAGAACTGTTTAACTGTTTTTGGTTCAGTGTGAGTAAAAAAAAGTCTTGGTTCAAATCTTGGTTGAACAAAACTAGATTTAGCAATAGCTTGCATGAGATGAGCATTAACTGGTTTGACACTAACGGTTTTGGCTCTAGGAGGAATAGAACTTGAGTTGTCAATAACAAAATTACTCATTGGGAGTAGTGGAACTGCACAAAAAGCATCTAATGAGTCAGAATTGGAGCTGGACTCTGACCAGACCGGATAGAAGTAGACACATTAGGAGAAGCTGGAGTATGAACTCTGGTTGAATTAGTTTGAGATATTGGACTGGATATATGTGAAGTAGAGTTATTGGACTCGGAATTATTATAAGGAAGAGGGGACAAAGTGACACTAGTGGTAGGTGAAGAGGACTCGAGATGAATACTAGAGTACCTAACCTTTTGGATGTGATGCTGTTGGACCAGGCTGGAACACAATAATATTCGGTTGTAAACTGTATCAATATATAAGCCACTAGAAGCTGTATTTTTGACCAAGTTTTTACATAGTTCGGTGCAAATTTGGCTAGTTATCTTGAATAACTTTTCAGGGAAACTCACTATTATGTTAATATTTTGTATGGACTCTTATCTATTATTGTTAAACTTTCAACTTTGAATGACATTAGTCTAAGGTGAGAATGAGGTGTAATTTCAGCATTTAGTTTGCAATATATTGATGATAATCATGTCTCTGCTATAATTATGCGTTGGAAGGGGATAAAGTTTGAACTTAGAACACATGATACTGCAATTCTATATTCTGATTTTGTTTTTGTTACAGTGGAGAACACATCGCCTTCATCTGGAAATATAAATGGCTTCTCAGTAGTTTCTTCCTCAACAGAGTGCAAGCCTATTCCTTCATTCTTTGACCGCGGCAATGTTGAATTTGGGACAAGTATTATGTCAACTAAAGTAGACGACGGCAGTGGCACCCCTTCGCGCCCCAAAAAGGTCATTGTTTATTCAAAAAAGACAAATGTTGATATTGAAAATGGCGGTGCTTTGATGCAGATCAGCGATGACAAGTGGGTTGCTTACTCCTATTTCCATAGAGATGATTGAAAAGCTGCAGGCCCCAGGCTTCTTGTCTGAATGGTATTTTGTTGCTCAAATGCATTCTTGTAAAAAGTGAATTGGGATAATCAACTTGGGATTAATGCTTATAAGCACTCTGATAATTATAATTTTGTCCTTTTTATTTGCTTGAAGACTTAATAGCAAGCTGGCTCACTGAGTTATATATATTATATACTTCCCTGTCCCCAAATATAAATTTGAATGAAAGTTTTAAACTTGTTAATAATTTGTAAGTTTGTGCTTTAAGGGTGTGTTTGGTTTGAAAGAGAAATTGTGAAGATAGAAAGTAGGGAAGAGAGTGAGAAAAGAGAGAAAGATTTAAGAAATAAGGTATATTTGAGATATTGATTTGTATAAGAGAAATTGTGAGAACTAGAAAAGAGACAGAAGTGTTTTTATTTTTCATTCTGATTGGATGAACTGAGTGTGGAAAAAGAGAAATGATATATTTTGAGTCTTGATTATATTAGTATTTTAAATTAAAATAAATGTCAGTTTTTTATATTTTTTAAAATTATATCGTTATTTTTTTCTTTTAAATTTACTACTACTATTTTGGTTGCTATATAAAATGTATTGTCAAATAAATTTGTCTTTTTATCTTTTTTAAAAAGACTTTATAATAAAATGTCAAATTCAAACCATCTCTGCTGTATTTCTTCACCATTTATTTCGTATTTTGAAGACAAATGGTAATTACATTGGATCAAACCATTTTTATTCTCTCTCTCTTTTATTATTATTATTATTATTTTTTAAATTCTTTCTAACCAATTAAAAGAAGTTTGTTACTCCATCAGTCTAAAAAATGTTTCATTTGTATTTTTTTCTTTCATTCAAAATAAATATGTTTTTACAATACTAGTATACTATTTATTATTGTTTTTTTCACTATTATATTCATACTATTAACAAAAAAAAGTTTAGTAAATAATATTAATTTTATCATTAAAGTTAATATATTTTATTATTTTTTTAAAAATTATTAAATTAGACACTTATTTAAACGAGAGAATATTTTTCATCTATTTCTTTTCTTTTCTACTGACTTATGATAGTTACAATTAGGGGTGGCAACTCCGTCTTAAGCCTTTAAAAAAAAAAAGGAACGGACAAGTCCACCAAGTAGAAATGGACATAAAAATCTATCTCGTCCGGCTAAGGTGACAGACTTGCCCGCCTACTTTTTTTTTTTTTTAATAGATTAATAGGTTTGTTTTTACATTTCAATTAGATTTTTCACTTATTTTTTAGAATAATTGTAAACTATTTTTTAAACAAGTTTTATTTCAAAAAATATTGCATGTATTTTCAAATAAATGTATAAAATAAAACCATCAAAAATTGAAATTAATAGAATTAACTAAAAAAAGGGTGGGTTTAAAGTGGGACAAAATGAATGAATAGGTGCGGCAAGCTTTTGCGGGCGGCAGATTTTGGCAGAACGAGCTTTGGCGGGTGGAAGTCTTTAGCGGGGCGGGTTTTGGTGGGCGGCGGGTCCGAAATTCCAACCCAACCCGCCATTTTTTGGCGAGTGTACGGGCCGGCCTGGCGGACCACAACCCGTTTTGCCACCCCTAGTTACAATTAGGGAGACAAAAAACTCATCAAACAATTCACGGTTAGGATAATGAGTTCCCGCTGCAAGCAAGCAGAATATACTAATCAATCTCGATTGTCTGATTCTAAATTAATGATCGAAATTGTTTGTGTCAAATAACTAAGATGTGTTTTTCTCAAAGATTCATATTCAAATAATGTTTTTAAAATAGTCTCGACTAGAAGACAATAATATTGATCTCATTGAATTAGTTGATCTTAAAATAAAACAAAAACTTACAGCAAGCAATCCTAATTCTCAATAAGGGGAGGCAATTCCAACCTAGAGTCAAGAGAGTACTATAAGAGTAGTAATATAAGCATATTAAAAGGGGGATTGCTCTTTCTACCCTTATGGATTTTCCTCCACCACCGTAAAAAGACTAAAATGTCCCAAACGTCCAGAGATGTATTCTTGACGTACCTTTTTCACACACAACATGAGGCAATTGGTGAGATTTTTTTTTTAAAGATATGATTCAAAGATGCATCTCCATATATTTTAAAAGTTGATCCGGAGATGCATCTCCATAACCTCTTAGTTCATTAGTCTGTGAGCTTTCTGGAGATGCATCTCTGGAATATGCTTTGTTAGTTCAAAACAAAAACTAACAGAAATAATGATAGAATGACAAACTAACATAACTTGACATCAAAATAAGTATTACATAGATAAACATTATATAAATTTAACATTACATGTCATTGAAAATAGGTGGTTCAGGAAGTTGCAACATTCTTATAATATCTTCGACTGATCTTTGAATCGTTGCATCCACTTCAATCAGAACATTTGTTGAGTAACGATAAAAGGTAGTCCACATAACCTTTAAATCATCATCCGTCTTCAGTTCAAGCATGGTGAATCGTATCTTCCTTTCGTTGTCTATCGATGGTGAATGATACTTGTGCTTGACAACTCTCTGATTTTTTGGATATCGCAAGAGAATATTCAATTTGGTTTTCAAATCGACGAGAACCATGTCCTCGCATATGCGAAATTGAAATGAGGGGTTTTGCGTCATTCAAATATATAAACACAAGATGGGGATATGTAGTCGTTCTGGTTTGTGTAAAGAAAATAAATTGATAGATCTTATTTATAGAATGTGTAAAGCAATAAATACCTTACAAAGAAGATCATATATGCATGAAACACTTCACAAGTAGATACATATCCAGATCCGCCTTTTTTTCTTTAAAAAATTAAGAGTTTCTTCGGAGATGCACATCCGTATAGCCCCCTATTTTTATTTTTAAAAATAATTACAAGGTGTGTCTGGAGATGCATGTTCGGATCCACCCAACAATTATGTAGTACATAACCAATTGATTATGCAGAGTAGAATTTCAAAAGAAAAAAATTGTCCAAAAAATATCACCAAATTTTATAAAATTATGCAACGCGTTACATATAAAAAACATGTTACGTTGTTATATTACAACTAAAATGCATCAAAACATATGTATTACCTAAGTTTATTGGTGGTTCATTCTTTGACATTTCCTTATTTGCTTCTCGTTCAATGTCACTCAACTTGGTGAATTCTTCAATCCTTTCTAGAAAGTGATCCAACCATGTTTCAACATCTTGTGTGAAATGTGTCGTCAGCTCCAATGATGTTGTTGGTATAGGACAACCTAATTTCAAATGTTGTTTTTTTGATCGCTAACCAATACACATGATGCATTCAGATTGATTTTGAGGTGGCTTACTCTGAAGTAGGAAGAATGTTTTCGAGAAATCATATCGTGTTAAATCAATACACACCCTATCATAAGTACTTGTTATAAGGTGTCTCATTTTTGGGAAGCATATCCATTTATCGAACAGAGTCGAAGCCGTAAGACAAAGAACTAGAGCATTATGAATTGCATCGTAATTTGCTTTGTTCCAGTATAGCTTTGTGTATGATTCTCTATGCGTTGTCATCTCTTGTATATGATGACAACAAACAAATTAGTATCCATCTTGTCCTTTACCGAGCAAATCCTAAACAGCTCAAAAATCATAGTTGCCGTCACCTTCAACATCTATAATATGCTCAATGTATTTGTACATAAAAAGAGTCATCTCTTTAATATGTTTGACTTTTGGTAATAGAGGTGGAAGAGATGGTTTTCTAATGCTAGCATCCTTGAAAACACCTTTTTGGGAATTTGAAGTCGAAGAATTTGGAAAATGTGAGTCGACATGTTCAAAGTATGAAGAAGACCATCTCGTGGAGTTGTCACTTTGTGTCAGTTTGACCTTTTTAGGGGAACATTTTGTTTTAGTCGGTTCTGACAGTGGTTTCAAATACATTATTTATGGATAGGAAATCTTCCTCAATTGCTCTTTGAAGTACAATTTCATATGTCATGAGCTTTCATGAATCTTTCTTGGATCACTTCCCACTCGGTCATGATAAATATGTTTGATTTATCATCCTTTATAACACCATCATCATCAAAAGAGAGTCTTTTCTAATGAGTGAAAACTTCATCCATACGTATTAGTTTTTCAAGCTTCATCTTATTTAAAATTAAACAAGCACATGGAAGACCGTAAGTATTCCTAAGTGTAAATCCACACTCTGAGCTGTCTAAACCTATTTTATATGCTCGCTTGAATTCATGAAAAATAAAACTCAAAATCGCCCAAGATACATTGCCAATCAATTGTGAATAAAGGGTGTTGTCTTCGAAGTAGTCTTTTAACGCAGTAATGTTCCAACCAAAACATGTTTGTATCTCATTATGCTGATTTCAAAGCATTTGGTTCACTACATCCCAATCTCGACAAAAGTCACTTTTACTTTTTCCAAACCAATTCTTCAGTCTAACATGTGCAGATTCAACTCGGTTAGTTATTGTATCAAAGTGTCGAACCTGATCGGTCCATGCCAAATGATCTTCTCTTTTACCTGATCCAGAATAATACCCTCAACATATTTCAACAAATATGGATATATTACATACACACAGACACACAGACACACACACAGACACACACACACACACACACACACAGACACACACACACAGACACACACAGACACACACACAGACACACACACACAGACACACACAAACACACTCCTAAAATGTAAAACATAGTCGACAAATAATTCTTCATTGGAAGTATTTATTATAGAATTCTATGCATCCATAATATTTTCCACCAACACACTAAGTTTGACAAGTTTTCCATCTTCACGTTTGACTTGTTTCGTGACAACCATAAGTTTTACTTGACTTCTCACACTTTTAGTAATGTGATACAAAGTAATGCAAACAATGCAGGAAACACCGTTACAATCAAATTCATCAGTGTGGTGTTGTGATCAATGATTATGATTTGTGTCATGTTTTCGTGATCTTAAACATAGTCTTGCACATTTCCAAATCCAATGTAACGTTGTCATCCTTTTCAAATTTCAAAAATGAAAAATCGACTAAATAATCCATTTATGTATACATAACACCAACGATTTTCAGAAATGGAAGTCTATACTTATTTTTTGTATGTTGAGTCAATTATGAGTATAAAGGGCAAGGTGTTGAGCAACTCGAGGGAATTAGAATGAATCCAAAATATATCTCGAACGATGACTTTATCCTCACAAACTCTGTACCTAGAAACATAATAATCATCATCCAAAAGCTTCAAGAGTTGTTGTATCTCAGATCTTGGTCCTCTTACTGTCTTGTTGTCTCGAGCACGCACATTGTATATTTTCTTGATATTTGAAACATTTAGAGGTCTTTCCTGTTTCAAAGATGTGAGTATGTTTTTCGGCGCCACCATGTTTAATGCCATGTCCGAAACAAGTTCCCTCTCCTCCAAAACAAGACGACATACAATGCACTGACCTGCTTGCTTGTCATTCAAGGAACGATTATGTATACCAAAAATCACATTAAATTTCCATGTCTTATACGCCATACGATATCCGTGCAATTTAAACGGACACTCACATTTCCTCGATCTAGTGTTATTTCGTTTTAATTTTCTAATCTTTGATCGGTACGTGTCACTTCTTTCGCATATCGTTGTTAGAAATACTTGTCTTCTATCCGAACCATTGTCAGAATTTTCAATTACAACGCCAAACTCCAATTTTCTGGCCTTCCTACAGACCCATTGTAGCATATGTTCACGAATAATAAACACTTTTTTATTTGTAAATTGTGCACGAACATCTACCTAAAAAATAATCGGTCGAGCACCCGATTTAACATAATCATTCGCTTCATCTGATTTAACATCACTTCATCCGGTTTAATATCATGCTTCACTTCAATCAGTTTAACATCCACACTCACAATAACTTTGAAAAATATATTCGGGTGTACCCTATCTAATACCACTAACAACTCAAAAACAATGTGAACACTCACACAATCAGGACAATCAAGAGATGCACATCCAGATCACACCTAACTTTTTCCGGAGATACATATCCGGATCCAACGTTCATTTTTCAGCTCATAGACAAAATTAATACAAGGAATGAGGGATGAAATGAATGAACTTTACCTCCAATTCCAACTTATTTTGCTCCTTTTGATGTGATGAAATATAAAAATAATGTTTCAGCGTTGAAGAGGTGATTGAGAATGAAAGAAATTTTTTTAAGGGTTTTGAAATTTGAGTTTTGTGTGAGTATGGAGGAGAAGATCATGAAAGGTGGTGTTTTTATCCAATTTCTCGCTGGTCATTTTAAGAGATGCATCTCCAAAAATATCACTGAGTCGTTCAATTAACTAATTTAGTGAATTAAAACACAATAATTAAGTGCTAAATTTATTTTAAAAATGCATCTTCGGATACACCTAAATATAGTACAAAGATGCATTTCCGAACTATATTTTTTGCAAAATAGAGTAAACCACAAAAACTCACATTTTAGTGTGATTTTTAATGCGTCTGAATATGCATTTGTGAATGTATAAAGGGTTTCAAATTTTTTAAAATGTGAAAGACATCACCAAAAATGAACCATGAAAAGGCTATCAAGAGCCTATATGGAACAAGGTAAAGAAACAAAGACCTAAGCACATGAAGCCTACCTAAGAAGGAATTGTGGAGGTGACCAACGAATAGAAACCTACGCTCGACAAAAATTACAAAGTTAACATGTACAAAAAAATACAAGAAATGAAAACTAAAATATATACAATTTTCATGTTTTTCTTGGTTCAGCATATAACTTTTGTATCTAATACTCAAATTTTACACATTTAGAAGCTCAGAGAAGAGGGAAAATACAAACAATATAATTACACAATTTTCTCTTTCTAGCAGAATTAAAATATTCAAATGTTGGCCAAAAATTATATGCTAATAAATATTAAATTATTTCAAAAAACACTTTATTTTATTGTGTGATTTACCATTAAATATGCTCTTAACATAAATTCGAGAGTTCAAAGTCAGATAAATTAGTGAACACTTAAAATTCAAAAGTTTTTTTTTTTAATTTCATAATCGAATTCTATCATACGATAACCGTTAATATTGATATAAAAATTTAAAAATACATAAAGTACTAAGTAACCCTCTAATTGAAGAGGTGGAAAGAACTATGTTTGATGGAATATGTGATCCCACTAACTTTTTAATTCAATAAGTTAAACTCAAAACAACATTTAATTCATTTTCTTATCAATCACCTTTTGTTAAGACATTGACAAGTAGACCCTCAATAAACCAAACAACTCCTATGTTTCTGACTCAACCCTATATATAATAGCTCCATAAAAAACTAAAAGAAATAGCAAAAAGACATAAAAACACAAGTTACAATATAGTTTCTACATAAAGTACTTTAAAGATAGTAAATTTTACTTCTTAAAAAGAGACATAGGTTTTATAAGTTCATCAACTTATAAAACAAACCTAAAAGAGAAACTCATGAGTTACATTGTTCTCAACAAGTTTTGATGCTAATTGGTAAAGATGTATGAAGATTTTGTAGCCAATGCAACTAAAAAGTCTCTATAGTCCCCACATGGAATGCTTTCACATATAACATCACCAAGTTCTTTCTCATACTTTTCCTTGAAAGCACTTCTAATCTCATCCATGTCTATATCTGCCCTGCTTACAAGTGTTCTTGCCAAAGTTCCAATGTCCCTTCTCCCCTTTTTGATGCTTGTATATAATCCCTACCATTAGTAACTCAAATTGTGAATTCATTTTTAATATTAAATTAGGTTAAATATGTTTCTGACTTCATTAAAATCGATAAAACCTAATTTTCGTGAAATTCATGTGTTTTTAGTCGCTCGTTATATTTTTCGAGGACTAAAAACACACTATTCTTTTATCGGATAAATGCTGATTAACTTTTTTTTATAGGAACAAAAAATAATATTGTTTTCAAGAAGAAACAAAGATGAAAAGGGTTACCTTTGCATAATAATGTGTTTGATTGCAAATACACTTCACAACCACCATTAGAGCTTTACCAAATTGTCCATAGCTTCCTCTCTTGATTGACTATAACATATTTCAATAAATCAAATAATGAAAATAGTTTGAATAGCATAAAGTTTAATTACTTAGTACCTTTGTATATTCATGTCCATAAATGTGTTTATAACTCAAAAATGTTAACTTCAATTGTTGAATACTCCTCTTGCTTAAAATTTCTAGTACAACAGCTTCATCTATAGCTCCTAAGCTTCTCTCTCCACTTTCATATAACCTCCTTGCATCACACTTTGATATATGATGGCTTATATCTACTTGGTGAGCTTTATGTGATGCTGACAATGCCATAAGAATCTACACATTCAAAATCAAACCTCATTTTCTTTGAAGATATCGATTTTTTTTTTACCAATAACTTCAATTAGTTCGAGATAAGAGTTAAAGTATCGAGCTAAAACCCTAGCAAGCGAAAGATATTACCTTTTGAAATGGATGTGGAGGATCCAAATTCACAATATCTTGATCCAATTGTCTTCTAAACATTTTGTGATATGCTTGTGTGATGAGACCAACATGACTTGATTTTCTACCTACAAAAATTTCCACAAGAGCCTTGAAGTTGGTTTCATCTTGTTGAAGAGCTTCTCTAGCTATATAAGCATCTCTATCATGTGGACAAAGCATCCATAGAGACAAAGTAGAGAATTTCATAGAAGAAAAGAAATCATCTTCATCATAGTTTTGTAGTTGGTTTATCAAGTCCTCACCATACACTTCCTTATAAGTTTCTCTAAGTTGTTTTCTTTCAAGGATGGTTAAAGAAGAAAGTGATGGAATTAGTTGGCTTAAACTTAAGCCACTTAAAGAATCATGAATTTTCTTGCAATCAAGCTCAAAGTTATTGTTTGTCATCATGGTTAGAATGTTGGTAGTAGCCATATGTGTGTGGAAAAGAAAAATATGGAATGGTTAGTTATGTTTGATGAAAGTAGGTAGTTTAGTTGACAATTTGACATGTATTTATGTATCTATTACTTGAAGGCCAAGCAAGAAATACTACTTTTTAAAAAGAAAACTGACTGCGCAGCCAAAACAGTATCGACAAAATAGTATTAAAAGGTACTTATACCTATACTGTTATTCAACCGCGACGATTGCAATTAATATCATTAAACCTGTATCGACCGAAATCGCAAAAACCTTTACACGATAACGATGAATATTGAAAAGCTTGGGTGGAGTGATTGGCCATTATAGCCATTATAAATAAAGTATAAGTTGATATTAAGGGTTTAAAGTAATTATGTTTGTCTTGAAATGGAATCTAAACTTAGTAAAGTGGTTGAAAAAGATGAGTGGTGAGTGAAGTTTGTGTGTATTGAGTTGAGAGGGTAAGTGAAGTTTCTGTGCAATGAGTTGATGGTGATGTGTAAGGCAGGTTGTACTTAAAATATGCTTGCCATGTGAAGTTTGTTTCTTAGTTAGAATTGTCATTTGTGTCCAACTACACTATCAGTGCACTGCACCATCATACCTTTACAGCACTTTTTTTCAGTACTCGTGTGCTAAAATTAATATTTTATTAAAATCAATTAGAATATTAGTTTTATTTAACCTTCATTTATAAATAATAAATAGAATATTTTCCTATTAATTATTTTTTTAATCTTCATGCATAAGTTAATAATGGATAGAAATAATTAATTTGTTGCTCTTTGTCATATGACCGATTTCTCAATTGTGTATGATATTTATTTTTAGTTGTCCATAAATTGAAATATTTTGAAATGTTTATATTAAATTATTTTGAGTGCAATCGAATTAATTTAATTAATTTGATTTATTTTTATATCAATTTAATTCTATTTATACAATATCTTAAACAATTTAGTTAGAAGATATATTCTCAACAGTTTGGATTTTAGGCAAATTAATGTCTCGATCAGTAACAGAATTTTATCAATACCATAATATTGAGAAACGTCAATTTTGTTAATATACTTTTTAAATGTTATTAATATTTTTCAACGTAATTTTTATGTGTTGCTCTTTAAAAAGGAAAAGAAAAGAGGTATTGAGACAGTTTTTTGGCATTAATATTTTTCAACGAAATTTGGTGTATTAGCGTATTATACAGAAAGTTTTTATGCTATTAAGATATATATATTTTAGGCTACAACATCTCTTTAGAGATAATTTTCTTGCAAGTTTTAAATCCTCGATTTTGAGAGAAGAGTTTATTAAATATTGCGGTCAGCATGTCTCAAATTATAACATGATTTTATTTTGCAGGTCTTTGCAGCAAGTTCAACAACAATCTCAAAGATTTTATGGCTATCAAAGACAATTCCAGTGATGACTCAAATCGTCAGCCATAAATCAATGATGTTGAAACTATTCAACAGCAACCAACTCTCGTTGTACCGACGATCAATTACGCTAAACCATTTCCCGATGTGTCAAAAATTGAAGTTTTAAATGTCCAAAAATTTCGCAGATGGTATGAGCGTGTTCACTCCATCCTTAAGATGCATTGTGTTGCCTCTGCTCTCTCAAAACTGAAACTAGCGTTGTTTACAGCTTAAAATGTTATCGATCAATGGGCACATGCAAACAAGGTGTGTCGACACACAATAAGTACTTTTTCTAACGATTTTTTTAATGTCTAATGCTCTTACAAGGAAGAAAAGGAGATATGAGATTTGATGAATCTA